TACTGTAGCCCAGCACCAGAAGACTGACTGATTCCAAAGTCCCACTCTCTGATTCTAATAAGTCTTTCTTTTCTGACAACAATTATAACTTTCTTCATACAGGGTGTTCATTGGATTTGATCTTTGATCATGGGTCGAAAAAGCCTTTCAAAGATCCTGAAATTGTGGGGTTTCTGATATGGAGATCACATCGAGTTGAGATCTTTGAATACCAACTTACTTGAACATCTTTTGTTTTTATTGTTGTTTATGAAAAACTCTACAGTATCGGTCACATACATGTACAAACCTTCGCTTTGGAATTTTTTTTTGTGCAAGTTATCGTGTTTTCCAACAGACTTGAAGAAAAAAGTTCAGCTTTGCCCTGAATTCAAACTGGAATCTGATGATGATCAATTGTCATTTTTTGTGTAAAATTCCTCAGGCTTATCTATTAAATTTAAAAAAAAAAGAGGAATCTGACATATGTCACGCTTTTACATTGCCAAAATCAATAGGACAAGGGCCAAGGTGGAAGTTGTAATTTAAACAACTTAAAATCGCAAAGCTTTCTGCCAGCTGATCATAAACTTTTCCTCCGCCAGGGAATAAAGATGCAGCAGACAAGATATTGGAAAAGACCAGTCAACAAATATTGAAAACGGGATCGATAGGGTACTACCCTGTTGATGGAATTTTTCCTGCAAAGGATCCAAAACCCAACTGTTTGTTCAACGTTCTTCTGAATATGGTTCTAAAACAACAAATTGGTGGAAGGAAAGGAAGAAAAAGAGTGCCCATATCGTAAGCTTAAAGCATTAAAATATGTCGTGTTCGGCTTGGAAAAATCTGTTAACTTCCAGGGCAAAAGGCTATACAAGAGATTCAAAGTATTTAAAGAAAAAAAAAAGGAAGAAATGGAAGGATAAAAAGAGGCTGGTTTACGTAAAGGACATGCATACAATGAGTCAAGGAGACTAGATCCAGGCCATGATACCTACCCTCATTCTGAGGCATTCATCATGTTGTTTTTCTTCCTTTTTTTTTTTCCTTAGTTTTCCTTTCTATTGTCCTTGATTAAACGTTAAAACAATATATATATATATATAAACACTTCTATGTGTGAAACCAGTTTTGTATTATTATTCTTTTTTTTAAACACTATAGTTGATCTTCAAAGACAGAGTTGATATGTCGTTCCAGATAGAATATGGGAATGGCAAAAACTTGATTAATTATTTAATTTCATGTCAGAAGAAAATACTAGTTCAATTAATTCCACGTTTGAAAATTGATTAACCAAACATCTCAATCAAAAATAAATAAATAAATTTATATTATAATCAATATAATATATTCCCATCAAAATAAAATTAAGAGATTAAAGATTCACATTAAAAACATTCTGACAAATTTTAACATAAAAAGGGTTATTTTATTTTGAAAATGATATCAATACTAAATTATGTATATTTTTCACATCCTGAATGAAAATAATTATATGAGCATAATTTATTTTATCTTACAAATATATGTAACTAGCTAGAAAATTTAAATTTATGCGACTAATTAATGATACCAAAATAAAAATGTCCATCTACATGGGAAATATTTCCAATTAACTAATAAAATATCGAGTTTAATCTTGGTTAAATATATAGTTTTTATATAAATTCACAAGACAGGTAAAAAGAAAGAAAGAAAGAAAAAAGAAAAGAAAAAGAGGGAAATCTGAATGTATCTTTTAGATTACAGGGCTATAGTCGTTAGACTTCCTTGGAGGAGACAATTGGAGGTTACAGTGTCCCTTGGATGTTGATACTGACAACAACTTATCTTTCATAGGACGGCTTATTAGGGGTTTTTCCCCTTTATTTTTTTCTTCCTCTACAAACAAACACCCCTTTTCTACATGTTGGGTTAGGGGTCCTTGTCTTTGTTTTTTTTTTTTTGGGGTTTATTGCACATTACCTTTTTCTTTTCCCATCCTTCCTCATTTCAACTTAAATAATTATTACTTTAAAAATCTTACCTGGCAAAGAACATCCTGTCATCAACAAGATCACTAGACCAATCCCCAAGTTCCCCCCCTTCCCTCTCTCCCTTTCACTAAAAATTAAAAATAAAAAAGGAAAATCCCAATCTCCCAAGAGACATTCCAGTTGTATTCTCGTTGCTTTTGAGGAATGTTAAACCTGTGCGGTCGAACCACCACTCATAATTTTTTAAAAGGTCTGTGAGTAAGACTGTGAAGTCTTTCTTGTTTAACACATTTGCATGCATGCATGGCATGCAAAGCAAAGCAAAGCAAAGCAAAGCAAAATACAAAATTATAATATATATATATATAAAGAATAATAATAAATATTCATATATAATACCCACGTGGCACTTAGAGAATTGATCAAAGAATTAATGATTAATATATTAACAATCTGATACGGTCTGCTTTCCTTGGAAATGTTGGGAAAAAAACCCTAAACCCTACAACGCTCAATTTGGGGGACCCCACCAAATCCAACGAGCCACATAACATCATGATTGACGAGCATGTAAATTAAATGCGTATCTTAACCTTAATCATTTTCTGTGGTTTGAGATGATTAAGCAAATCCCAGAGTTTCCATTAAAAAGAGTATAAACAGATCCTCATTAATTACTCGAATTTATAGGCATTTGAGCAGAGTCCTAACCTGCTCGATTCTTCCACCTCCCCACTCTCCTCTCCATGGCGTGTTCTTCACGTTCGGACATACCCCACGAGAATTGTGGGTCGCGTGGCGGAAAACATGAGCGGTGCGCAAGAAAAAAATACAAAAACAATCCAAGGCAACGCTTAGTGTCTTGGGCTAATCGCGGTTTTTTTTTTTTCGTGGTTTATAAAGTGGAAATAGAGAGAGCATCTTTTGGAAAGCGGTGGTCGTCCCGTTTGTCGAACTAAGGCTCACCAATCTCTAGACGATCTGATTCTTTCTCCCTTTCTCTCTCTTCATGTTTTTTGAATCTTTTGATCATATTCTTCATAAGGGTTTTTTTTTTTCTTGGTTTTTTGTTGTTCGGGGTTTAGCCATGATGGATGTGGGGTCATTTCTCATTGTTTTCAATTCAAGGTTTGTTTTTTTTTTGGTATTGAACCTTTTCTTTTTGAGTTTCCATCTTTGACTCAAAGATCTTTCTGTCTTGGTAAGCCAAGTAGAAACAGAAGTTTGTTGCTTTGATGATTGCGGAGTATCTCATTTGGATACCTTTATTTTTATGTTTTCCCTTCTTCTTGTTGGTTCCCTTTACCTTTCTTTTTTAAAATGTGTGGATGTTCTACCGGTCTACAATATTTTGCCCAAGACTAAATACTCGTACTACCACTACAACTAGAAACCAAAAAGCCTTTTTGGGTTGGTGCTGAGCTGATTGAGTTTGGATACGGGAACATGAGGAAATTATCATGACGAAATTGGCTTTGTTTCTGAGGATAGGAGGGGGGGAGGGGGGTTCACGTGATTCCAGGGTACAGGGTGCTGGGTTGTAGTAAGCATGAAACTGGTCGTTTCTTTAGGGAGGTGGAAGGGGGGTCATATTATTGTTGATTGTAAGATTGACGGATTGGACTGCCTATAACCAACTAACGGAGTGGGCATGTTGTGTTAGACAGAGAAGTGGTCATTGCTCTGTTGAATAAACTTATCTCAGTCACAGCATGAACTCAAAAACATTTTTGCTTTGCTTTTTCTCCCACAGGCGAAACCAGTGCGTGCATGGCAAGCACCATCTCCCTTCCCATCATATGGTATTAATTAATGAAAGATCTTTTTGTTTTTTAATTAAGAGGAACAAAACAATCTTCTTTGATCATAGGGATAAATCAAAATTCAATTTGCTGACATGCCTTCAATCCAAAGAATTTGAATTGATTGTTACATTCATTATTATTTTTTTGTTAGACATAAATCTTTCAATGTTATAAACCAACAAAAATTTTAACTATAATTAATTGATCAATGTTTATGGGAATTGCAAAATGTCTCTATTCAAGACATCTACATCAAGGTATGTTATTCATTGATATATACCCTGTTTTGTTTTTTGAGAAAGAGTTTAATTGAGAACAATTTAAACTTCAAAGTTCAAACTCCCTATTTTTTTCTAAGTACTAAAATGAAAACTACCATAATCAAAACACAGTTGATAGATCAAATGTTGGCGCATATGCTGGGACCATTAGAGAAGCTGTGAGTTGTGAATGAGCATACCTTAGGGGCAGGGGCATATGGCAACAGTGATTGGAGCGTGGACGGAAGACGCAGAGGGAAGGAAGTGGAAAAGGGACGGGAAACTATTCATTTTCCTTGGGAGGCTGGCAGTGACAGAGCAGAGGGGGCAGAGATACGGATACGGACAGAGGTTTTGATGTATTGGGTTTGAGACTAATAGGGCCTCGTGATCGGAGAAGGCAGATCCATGGAAGACTGTTCCCGCTAGTCACGTGGGCTCTTTTGACTACCCAATGACCAACCCATCTGCCCCATCGCTTGTTAGGAGCACCCCCCCTTTTGCTCACTTCACCCTTCACCAATTTATCCCTCTTTTGGAGTATAAATTTAATTGGCCGCAACCAATTTCTTAAACTACACAGACAAACGCTTACAACACTTCAAGCCTTATTTCCCAGACAATTTTCTCACACGCTTTTTCTCTACGCCCTCACCACTCCTGACTCACTCTCTGACTGCCTGACTTAATTTTCTTTCTCTTAGTTATATAAGACTAGTAGTACTATAGTATTTAACTACAAAAACATATTTATATATAGTTACTGGTGCCCTTTGTTTTTCCAAGTGTTCTCGCTCTGTAACATGCAACCTGGGTCCCTCTCTGTCTATATCTTTATTTCTCTCTTGCTATATACGCATGTACATCCCTCCATTTGCATTTGACGACAACGTGGACTGCAGGTGCTGACTGGTATTTCGCCATTTTATTAGCTTATAAAGCTACCAGACAACAACTCTTCTCAGTCCTCTCTCTCGTACCATTCAGCTCTCTCTCTTCAAGTTCTTATTCAAACGTTATATTATTGCACTTCGCTCTCAGTTTACTATTTGGCTCGTACTCCCCTGCCATTACCCTTTAACTATAAACTCACCATCCCATCACATTTTTTTATCCATCAATTGCATTAGCCCAGTCCTTCTCTTCATCTGCTATCCCTTGTTACTTCCATTTTTTATCTTTTCCCTCAGTTGGCAATTGTTGGTTGATTGATCATTCTGAATCAACCCCCATCTTGATCTTTTTGATATCCGTTGTGCTGAAATTGAGGTGGAAGTGTAGTAGGCCTTCGACATAATCATAGAGAAAGAAATTTTGAGAAATGATGCACAGGTGCAGTAGCTCTCAGGGAAACATGGTGGGTCCATGTTCATGTGGCTTGTTTCATAACCAAAGCAACTCCTTCTCGATGCTATTTTCCATGCCAAACCACCACAAATCTTTCGATGAAACAGATATGTATGCTTACACGTCCTCTTCTTCTTCTTCCGTTGATTGCACTCTCTCCTTGGGGACCCCATCTACTCGTCTCTGCGAAGACGATGACAAGCGTATCCGCCATGACCGCCGCTCTGGTTCTTGCATGTCTAACTTTTGCTGGGACTTGTTACAGAACAAGAACGCGCCTTATTCACAGCAAACCCCAAAAGCCAGCCGTGGGAGCAGTGGAAAAAGCAGTAGCAGCTCATGCAATGATCCTCTCCTAGCTCGCCGCTGTGCTAACTGTGACACCACTTCCACACCGCTTTGGAGGAACGGACCAAGAGGTCCAAAGGTACACAAAATTACTCATTTGCAATTCTTTATATTTATTCTCTTTATTGTTTCTTCATAAACAAGTATACTTATTTTGCTCCTTTTTTTTTCGACTTTTCATGCTTTTTTTATTGTTTAATTGCAGTCACTTTGCAATGCCTGTGGAATTCGATTCAAAAAAGAAGAAAGAAGAGCTACAGCAAATGCGAACAACTCGGGTACAACAGGTTCAATGCTGGAGCAGCAACACCATGGGTACCACAACAATTCATGGGTTCAACACTCCCAGAACCAGAAAATGCCATGTTTCTCTCCTGTCAATGAATTCAGGTTCATTGAAGATAGTGATCGAGATTCTGATACCGGCATTCCCTTCCTTTCTTGGAGACTCAACGTCACAGACAGGCCAACAAGCCTTGTCCATGACTTTACAAGATGAAAGAACGAAAAAAGAAAGAAGAAAAAGGAAAGAAAACAACCCCACTGACGGTCAAGATCATGCAGCAATGACTGAAACGTATCACGATGATGATGTTGATGAAGATGTGTTTGTGATGGTGATGTTGATGGTTACATGGTCTTCGTTTCGTCTCGTCAAATTCTTTTTTATTTTTTGATTTGTGCTTTTTCAGTTTGTTTCCTTTGTCTCCGTCTTCCACAGATGGAGTAAGAACGGGATAATTCTATGTTCTTAGTTGCCTTCTTCTTCTTTTTTTTTTTTTTGGGTTTTGAATTTTTTTTCCTTTTCCCACTTCTTTACCTTTTCTTTCTCTTTCAGTTCTTTTATATAAAACCCTTTCCGTTTGAGAGAGTTTCACTTTCACTTTCCCCTAGTTTGCCAGTTCCTCTCCCCCCACTACGTTTAATGATATCAAAGTTCATCATCATCAGCATGATTATGATGAGTTCAGCACCGTTAGATTGATTACTGATTCCCCCTGATGTAATGTAATAACATAGGACGTCTTAGCTTACATATGCAAATGGTACCCTTTTTCATGTTATATGAACTGAAGTTCACTTTACCTGAGACTCTGGAGCTGCTGCCTGCTGCTGCTTCTTGTTGGTTCTTTTTCCATTTCTCTGAATTTCACAACTGAAAGAGAAAGTTAAGACAAAAGCAAAAAAAAAAAAAAAAGAGTGAAGAGGAGGTGTGATTGTCATTAGAATTATTACGTTTGATGCTGCTGAATCAATCTGACCCTCCAATTACTTTGTTTAACAATTTGATATGTTCTGATGCTGAAGGACACTGTGCTGTTCAGAACATAGTAATGCATTTGTCGTATTAGGCTTTTTTAGCCAACGTCAGAACAACTCCTTCTTGACCGTCAAATTGGCCTCTAATGCATACCTTGGGACACCTCTGCAAAACCCTATTTCTTTTTCTCATTTCTCCCACCATTATTTTATCTCTTACTTCGGCTTTCTTTCTGTTTTGTGGTGACTGCGGGTAGAAATTTTATGCTAAAAATTATTCCGTTCTTATACTATGTTTCAGTAGCATTTCATAGTTTTCTAGACTGATTCTCAGTTCCAAGTAGATTTTGATTCCCTTCCTCAAAGAGAAGCCAAAACTAATTATGTCTGCTAGATAATTATGGAATTCATGGAAATTTGATATTTTATCGGGTAATTAACTATAGATATTTACACCATTATCACTATCGAAAGTTTGAAAATATAACAAATTTATTTAATTGTGATAACTCGAATAAAAATTATGGCAATTGCGAAAATAACAAAAAATTTTCAATTAGATTCAAATTTTAATAAATATTATATCTATCAAATTATCTGCTAGGATTCGTTTTCTTGATATTCGTTATGTTTCTTAAATTTAAAATTTAAGCATTGTGGATATGCATTTAAGATTGATATGAAAGTAATATATATTATAGGTTTATATCAAAATTTAATAAACTTAATTATATAAAAACAAGGTTAAGGGGTTTATATACATATATAAACAAGGTTAAGAGGAAAGATTGTTATTTCACTTGTAGACAAAGGAAATTTGTTGTAAAATTAAACTCTCTACTTATATCTAAATGCACAAAAGGTTAGTTGATACTTGATGGGATCGAGTTTATTTTTGTTTTTGGTATTAAAGGTTTGGAAGTCGTCATTTTCAATTGTGTTCGTCTTTTTGCTATATATATTTTGTGGATTCTAACTATAGTACTTTGAATTTAATATATATATATATATATGTATGTAAGTTGAAGAATCATTTCAACTTAGAGAATTTGTCCTTCAAATATCACTATACGGATGCCGAGTTGGTCACTAAATCATACGCTCGTGCAACGTTTACATAAAAAGTATTATATTTTTTTGGTATATACATATTATAGTAGAAAAAAGAGCAAAAGATAAAAATATTATACGGATTGAAATACATGAATGAAATGAGTAAAAAGATGTAAAGAACATATTAAGATATCTCATTATTAAATTAAATAATAAAGAATCACAGTGCAATAAGGCATGAAATTCGTTCATGTTTCTTTCATATATACAAATGAAAACTATTTTTTTCTGATACGATTTTTCAATCACTTGTAATTTATTGATTTAATTTTAATCTCTTGCGTCTTAAGATTTTTACTTCTCAAACACTCCACCTCAATTTGACTTCTGTAATGCAATAATTTCTTGGTAGGAACCAATCCATGTTGCAGTCAAATTTGCAACTCCGACAAGTTATTAAGAGGATACTTTGAACAAATTAATCTTTCTTACTTGTGAGGAAGAAGAAGAAGAGCCTCGCCTCACCCACCCCCGATGCTAACCGGCTAGCTCAAGGAAGACCAGCCCAGCCCACAAATCACCCATGAGGTTTCCATTTATGGAGGAAAAAACTATCCTCTTGGGTCCTGAAGACCAGGGCCGGGAGAAACATTCCTGTGCCGATCCCTATTCCGAGGTTCAGCTGGCCTGGGCTTTTAGATCTTGATTGGTCATTAACCTGGGACCTCCCATCGAAGTCTGCACCACCCTGATTGACTTCCACAGCGGAGGCTACGGGCCAAAAGTGCAGGGTTCTGCTTTTGTTATTGGCCAGCATTAATTAGTTTGGTTATCAGCTTTTCACAGTTTTAATTAAAAAAAAAACTATCGTTAAATTTATATATATTAATATAGTGGGTGGGCTGTTGGCTATTGCAACATTAGTAGTTCAGTTGTCTTTATCATTTTTCCTATCTTTGGTGTAGTTCATCAGGTTCAGTACAAAGTTGTCAATAGGTTGCATTTTGTTCTGTTGCACCTCGAGGAAAAATAAAGAGAAAAAACAAATTACCTAATATAACAGTTTTAGTGACTACTCTTAAACATTTGTTGACAAAATTCTTTTTTGTTTGAAGGGTTAACTAATAAGTATTTACTAGCACTTGTTAAACTTAACTAAAATTTAATTTGATTACTTTTATTTTGAAGAGAACTCCTTAATTAATGACTAACCCTCCGGCTCATATTGTCTTAGTAAACCTTAAATGAAGTTAAATATTATGATATTTCTTTTAAAATTGTGCATTTATTTTTTGTTTTTTCATATATATAGAGACTTGTAAACTTTATTTTAAGATCATTAAATTTATTATAGGATACGGTTAAATTAAAATTTTGTTCAAACAAAAATCTTTCGTCCCTTTTCTTGTATCATGGATATATTTTTGCCACGTGTAAGAAAGGACAAGTTTTCTTAACTTTGTTGATGGTAATAGGAGCAAAAGGCAAGATGAATTTTGTTGATTAATACTTAAATTGTGGAGGGATTTCAGATTTAAATATAAGATATCTCTGATAAAACATGCAAACAACAACTAGTCTATCTTTCTAATTCTTCTATATCTATATAAGCAGTCAAGGACCCCCAACAGACATGCAGACGAAAGTAGGCAGTGCAGGTGATCGAAAATCAAACAACCTTGCACATTAAAAGGCTTAAAAATGGTTGTACGAAGTAACCAACTAGACACGCATTAGAAAGGAAGATTTCGTGTAAGAAAGTTTAGAATCTATAATTTGGATTCGTTTTGATAACGAGGTTTTCGGGTGTGGGCCTTTTGCCCATCTGCGCTGGCTTTCATTTGGCCATTAACAATTCCAAGAGTACTCAAGGCAGTCAAGCTACCACTAATGGAAATGATATGCGTTGAAATTTAGTATCCTGTGTAAAGAGCCCATTTTTAATACTACTGATAACAACCCGTAACCAAACCCAAGGTTCCTCGTTAGTTTAAAACCCCTGCCTTCTCCAACATTAGATTCAGTGCTTTTAACTTCCAGGGAGAGAGAGAGGAACAGAAAGCAAAACCCAAAAAAGAGAAAATGGTGAACCTTGTAGCAGCACAGAAACCGCTGTTGCATGGACTAATGAAGATGGCAGGGGTTAGGCCTTACGACGTGGAGATCGAGCCAGGCACGGTCATGAACTTTTGGGTTCCTTGTGAAACAATCAGGAAACCAGAAAAGGGTGAAAAGGTCACCCACGTGGACAAACCAACAAAACCAGTGGTTGTCTTGGTGCATGGTTTTGCTGCAGAAGGCATAGTCACATGGCAATTCCAAGTTGGTGCTTTAACAAAGAAGTACTCCGTTTATGTACCTGACCTTCTCTTCTTTGGTGGCTCCATGACTGACAAACCTGACCGGTCACCTACTTTCCAAGCCGAGTACTTGGTTAAGGGTTTAAGGAAACTTGGTGTGGAAAAGTGTGTTGTTGTGGGGTTTAGCTACGGAGGGATGGTAGCATTTAAGATTGCTGAGTTGTACCCTGATTTGGTTCAGGCCATGGTGGTGTCTGGCTCGATCCTGGCCATGACTGACTCCATAAGCGTGGAGACTCTAAACAGGCTAGGCTTCTCCTCTTCTTCGGAATTACTGTTACCTAATTCTGTCAAGGGTCTTAAAGCTCTTCTTTCAGTTGCTGCTTACAAGAAGCTTTGGTTCCCTGATCGGCTTCACAAAGACTACCTTGAGGTTTGTACCATTACACTTATGATCATCAACAAACATAATTTCCTTCTTTCTTTCTTTCTTTCTTTTCTGAAGAATTCTTTAGTTTATGCCATGCTTTTGAGAAAAAGTAGTGTCAGGAACATTTGCATGACTGGTGATCACATGATTTTCATGGCTTTTTGGAATTAATATCCCAATAACTAAATCATTAGTTACAGCAACTTGTAAAGAAACACAATTATATGTCAGAACATGGCGTGTGACAATATATCAAAATTCATTTTATTTGTCCACTAAAGTATAAAAATGTTATGACAAGTTATAATTAGACCAACCCTTTTTCTGTCTCACCATACATTTTGGTATTCATTGTTAATGCTTTTTATCGCACTAAAGTTTCCATCCACCATGGAAATGATAGCAGCTTAAGGAGTATGACGGTATTTTATACTTATTTCCCTTCATTGATAAAACCAGTAGAATACAAAGCAGGATACTGTTGAAATAGAACAAATTTACAGAAATTTTAAGTGGAAAATTTGGATTAAAAGCCGGCAAGGAAATTAGACTTTTAATTTAATCTCATGAGGGGGAAGAAAATTGCCGAAACAGAACGAGAAAAATGTGACCAGTGCGTTTCGCTCAACCAACTGTACCTAACAGTGTACCATAAGAAGTGTATTGATACAGTGACAGGTCTAATGACCAGAGAGCCTGTGGACAATATCTCCTCTCTCGTTACAGGTGGCCGTGGCCCTGGGAAATTTAATGAAGAAAAATTTGGAAACGTTGGCCAAACTAGGAAACCTTTAAAAAAAGGACCCTTGCATTAAAAAAGGAAAGTTCCATTTATAGAAGGAACAGTTATTGTCATTGTTATAGTTGGAAACTTCTGATCAAACCCCCCCTAGCAGGTGATGTTTACTAACAGGAAAGAGAGAGCTGAACTGCTGGAGGCCTTGGTCATTAGCAACAAGGATGCCACCATTCCCTCTTTTCCACAGGTTTTTAATTTGCATTTTGCTTCTCTTTTTCTTGTTCCTGGAATTTCCCATGTTTGCTCTCTTATTTTTCAATATTAATTTGCAGAGAATACATCTGTTATGGGGTGAAGAAGATCAGATCTTTAAGCAGGAGCTTGCCCACAACATGAAAGAGTAAGTTTTGCCTCAACAATATTCGTCAGATATTGATGTTTCTCAATCTTTCAGTAGTACTGATATGGCTTTCGCGTAATTGGATATTTCTAAACAGGCAACTCGGAGATAATACAACATTCGAAGGCATAAAGAAGGCAGGCCACCTGGTTCACCTGGAGCGACCTTGTGTGTACAATAGGTGCCTTAAGCGTTTTCTGGCTTCCTTGCTGGCAGAAAAAGTTGACAAATGAAAATCTTTTAGTTCCAGTATTCTCTTCCCACTTTATTTCAAGTCAATGACACAGCTTGGTGTCATGAAATAGGAAAAAGAGGGAGGGGGTACTGCTATTTGTAATGGATTGTAAAATATCTTATCATTTTTCTGGCAAAGAGATGGTTATATAATAAATAGGAACAAATTCGCCTTTTTCTTTGAAAAGAATATAATAATGCCACGACAACATCCTACAGCTGTAACAGAGAGACTGGAGACCAATGTGATTTGCACATGCACAACTCATTTACTTGAGATCAAATCAGGAAAAGATAAAATGCATACAGTGAAGAACATTTTTATCTGAAGGATAACTGAATCTCTTCCAGACTTCGTCCTTTTGTTTCAGGGACCCAAAGTGCCACAAAAACAATGGTGAAAGCAGCCACAATTGCATAAAGTGTGAAAGTCCCTGCTCATAAGAAGCAACCATGTTAATTATAGACTCTAATTGTACTTCCACACACAACTAGGCACAGATGAGAGAGAGAAAGAGAGACCTCCACCACTCCAGGTCAGAAGCAAGTTTGCAGTCATAGTAATTGCCCACGATGTCATCCAATTTGCCAACGTTGCAACACTGCCAGCTAGACCCTTAATATTTACTGGAAGTATCTGAAAGAAGAATTTTAGGAAAAATAAGCACTTGCAGAAACAACCCCAACAAAGTGACCAATGTACTTAATATTCAGAAAGACTTTAACCACATAACAAACAGTAATAAATGACTTAGATGCACTCTTTATCCATTCAATTTCTGTTTAGAGAAGCCATGTATCCAATTCTAAAGTTGTCACAACTTGAGCAAGAAATTCTGAAATACTGCATAGATACATAACAGAGAGCACCAGCACCTTATAAGAGAACACTTGTAGCCCTGGTTGAGAAAACAATAGTAACCAAATTGTAGGAATCTTAATGCTGTTTCTATACATGGACTTAAATTACTCAAGTGTAGCCTAGGTTTGTTACTTGCTTCCTATCTCTTGCATTCTTATTAAACCAATATGGACCACCCAAATGCATACACAGATGCTGCCCATGATAAGAACTGAAGACATGAAAAAGATAAGAGTGCGCATGATGACTAAAAGCACAGACACCTGGTTTAGCAGCAATACCAAATAAAAATGTAATATAGTCCCACTGGATTTAAAATCACTGTCACTACAGAAGGCATTACCCTCAACCATCCCATCTCTGCTTTATCTTTCAAGAAAGCCATCTTTCAAAAAAAAAAAAAACAAATCTTTCAAGAAAGCAATAATGCTCACAAAAACGTTTAGTTTTGGTTGAGTTAGGCAAATGCATGCCTTCAACTAAATATTGATATTAAGGGGGATGCTTAAACGGATATTAGATATTCCTTTTTTCCTTGGTGTCAGTTGCTTATTATCCATGGTCAGACAAGTCAACTGTCATCATCAGCTAGTCTATTATACAGAATCATACACTGCACAAATAAGAATGCTTCTTATTTAGAGTCTGGTGAAATACAAGAGAAATTTGGATACCTCAGACATTATAACCCATGGAATTGCTCCAACACCCAGTGAGAAGGAAATCACAAAGGCCTGGATGGAGAAATGCCAGTCAAACAGATTGAAATCTACTTGACAAAACTAGAGTACATGATGTGTGTGTGTATGTATAATACACACACAATCTACCATGTCTAAAAGCAAATCTTACCACAAGGGCCACCAGTGACAGTATTCCCATTATGCTATACAAGTCAGAATCTTGAGAGACGATGCCCTGGTATCAGCGAAGAAAAAGAAGAGGAGGGAGAAGAAGGTATCAAGAGGCAATAGTAAAATGATTAAGAAAGAATTTCTCAAGCAGGATTTCTTAATTCTTGAAATTGGATTCTAAAAGATTTTGAAAAAGGAAGATCACCAACCTCGACAAAAAATGCGACTGCAACAATGAGCAGGCTCAGAGTCATTCCAGATGAGGATACCTGCAAAATCATTTCAGTCATGATTTTATTCATTGCTATGTTCACTTTGGCTCATTATCAAATAAAAGGTGAATTAGTTAGCTAGAACACACCATAAGAAGCAGCCTCCGGCCAGCTTTGTCCACCAACCATGTAGTCACACCAGTTGCAATGACCTACACAGAATCCAAACTCCTATTAGACTGATCAAGATATAATTCCCTTGCAATATTTGAATGCCTGCATGGCAAAACAAGACAGTTCGTGACTAATGACAAGTTACCTGAATAGCCCCAAGCCCAACTGTTGCAACATTGCTAGATGAAACCCCTAGACATATTTATAGCAAAGTCAAATAATGAAACAGAAGGCAGAAAATAAATAGATGAATGAAAACCAAAGCTGTTGCAACTTCAAAGAACACAAAGCAATTTATGCCATTAAGCTATTATGGCTGTCATAGAATGAGAGCACTTGAGACGGAAATGGGAATTTGATTATAGGTAAGTTGTGTAATTAACGAGATGATCCTCATATTGTTACCATATGAGCACAGTGATAAGATGTATAAAGAGAACATTAGCAAATCCCTCTCAGACCACAAATGTATTCTTTCCTGCTTTGTTTGGCACATCCATTAAATATTATCCAGGCAGCAACTTTGTCTTACCAAATTCGCATTTGTATACCATCCAAAAGTGGTGGTTTACACATTTTGATGTCTCCATGTATTAGAAAAATATATTCATCCACCATAAAATGCTTCAATGAATAGTAAAGTAATAGTTAACATCAGAGAAATGTTGTTCTAACCAGCTCTTTCAAATATATTACTGGAATAGAATAAAACACCATTGATACCACTGAGTTGCTGAAGCACCAGTAATCCAATCCCTATCTGCAGTATACCAAATACCACTAAAATTGGGGGTTCAATACGTTTAAGGACAAAGGAAAAAGTGCTATAGATGAAATAAATAATTAAAAAACAAAAGAATCTACCATCAAAGGATACCAATATCTTTTTCGCTTGAGGTCTGCAAATCGAATTGTCATTCTCTTGCTTGATGATGCTACAGCTCTCTGCGGAAGTAGTAATTAGAGCTTAATATAACTTTAAGAGGAGACTAGAAAAATAATGCCCATAATATACAACCTTATGCTAATCAACTAAGAGCTTTTGTGTAACAACTCCGTTTTGCAAGTTCAATCCAGAAAGCATGAGCCTTGGCTGAAGTGTAAAGGACAGATAGCCAGTAATTCAGTTCAATACCTTGATTTCATGGACTTCAACAGAAATATCTGTATCAAAGCCACGCAAAACTTGCAAAGAGGCTTCAAAATCTTCCATCATTCCCATTTTTGCCTGGATGCAACGCATCCACATTACGAGAACAGAAAAAATAATATATAGAAACCGTAATGGGAAAGATAACAGATCATAAAAGGTCCAATCAATATAATAGCAGGACATGTTTCATACCAGCCATCGAGGAGATTCTGGTATGAAGAATAGGCCAGGTATCAATATTGTACACGGTAATATTCCTACAAGAAGAAGCATAGCAGTCTATTAATGAAAACTGTACATTGATCAACCAATTTGATTGATTATTGATATACATCGAACATCATTCCTCTTTAGCTGAACCATAGTAATCTAATGTATATAGGAATAATGCCATAACTAACATCGTCACAGGAAGAAGTAGTTGCTCTAGAGCCTAGTAACCATCTATCTCTATTAAATTTAAAAGAACTTTATTTCCTTGAGAAAAGAGATTTCCTCAAATATTATTAATTTTTCAATAATATTTTCTACAAAAACAAATATATTTATTAACTTGAATCACATTCAAGAATTCAAGTACTCAAATGCATCCCACAATATGAAATCTTGAAAAATTTCGAATTTGTTCAAATAGGAAGAAAAGTTTGAATACTGTTTCTCCAATAGCATTCAACGCTTCTCTTTCTGCCAAAGAGTGGCTAAGTGAACAAATTTTAATCCACGTACCTAAAACTGCAAGCACTCTCCAATTTGCAAACAGTCCCAAAAGATAAGCCAGCATTATTCCAATAGTAACTGATAGCTACCCAACAAAGGAGTTCACTTAATTAATCAGTTGACACAATTAAATGTGGATATTAATACCAATGTATCGTGTTAGAAAATTCAGCAAGCATAATGTGCAACAAACCTGGTTCACTGATCCAAGGCTTCCTCTCATGTTTTGTGGTGATATCTCAGCTATATACACAGGCACCTAGACATAATTAACATGATGATGCTACTGCTGTTTCCAGCATTACTTTAAAAAAGGCTTCCAAGCGAAGAAGTAAAGAATAAATGAAAGCTTTCACGTTACCGTGTAAGAAATTATACCAACACCGAACCCTTCTAACAATCTCCCCATAAATAAAAATGAGGAGTCCTATGAGGGCCCAAGGCAAAATGCGTTAGCAACAAGCTTTGCGAAAGAGACACAGTAACAAGGACAAAAAACCCCAAAGTCACTTACTTTGGCAAAGGATATGGCCAGCCATCCTATTATGTTAGGAATCGCCGCAATCATTAACGACTGCAAATGAACACAACAATGCAATTTTAAGTAATTAAAATGAAAAAGCATAAATAAATATCACGGATTCATATTTGATGCATTATGAGAGCAAATACAAACACAAATTTGGAAAATTAACGGATCATATGTACGATTTCTCAGTTCAAAGCTGAAGCGCTGCTTCAATCAAAGGAAAAATAAAAGAAATTAAGAAGTAAGAAATTAATCAAAAATCAATTTGTACCCCTTTTCGGCCAATATATTCAGCAATCTGACCACTGGCTATCGCTCCAACCATTGCGCCCACATTTGATAACGAACCAAAAATAGAATACTGCTCGCACAAAAGGAAACATATAAAAAGAAGCTAATTTTAATGTATAGCAACACAGAATAATGAAAAAATAACGAATTTTGGCGATTCAAAATACGGACCTCTGAAATCGAAAGCTTAAGATCATTGGTGATTTGAGCTTGAGTAGGAGAAGAGTATCCACACTGCATTTTCAAATTTTAAAAACCATAAATTTACAGTTGAATATGAAATTAGAAACGAGAGAGAGAGAGAGAGAGAGTTATTATACGGTGAAGCCGAACTGGATTGGGCCCAAGGCGACGATTAGGACGCAGAGTACGACAGAGATTGATCCGTCGCGAAGGACTTGGGCCGAGGAGCCCATGATACTGGACTGCCTCGAGCTCATCCGATACCAGCTTCCGGTGTGCAAGAACGGCTTCTTGAGATCCCGGCCTTCTTCATTATCGTCCCGGAAACTCATCGCCTCTCGCTGCAGGGGGAACACAGCAAAACAACGTCGCCCGATTTGTGACGATCAAGTGTTGCAGGAAACTCGAAGCACTGGGCTTTTGATTGGAGAAAAAAAGGGAACGATGAGGATGACGATGACGACGAGTCTGGGGCTTCTCAGAATTTTGTATGGGAAAAAAGACACGTGGTATGCCGACGTGGCGGGTATTTTGGTTGTTCTTTTTTCGGGATAATTGTAATTAAAGAGTTTGGTCGGGACCTTATCCTTGCTTTAATGGTCGAGGATTGTCGTTTTTTGGCAACAATCCATGGTTTCAAAGACTAGATCCTAGAACCCGGGGCCCTTTTACCGGCATAAAACGACATCTCCCATATACTCTTTATCAAGTATGTTGGCAATATTTTTCATTATTTCTATAAAAACTTAAATTAAATATTTTATTTTTTGGATGACGTGGTTTTTTCAATCTTTGGAGAGACTAAAATAAAGAGATCAAATTTGTATAATCTGATTAAAATTTTTTTTTGAAAAGCTGAAATATTCATTCAAAATTGTATAATCTGATTAATTAATTTTATATTAAGATTAAGCCCAACTTATTGAAGGTATTTTTATAAAAAAAACACATGAACTTGTTGAGTTGTGATCATTTTTAGACTTTTGATATAATGTGATATTTAACTAATAATGTATAGAATCATTTTGAATTGTCTCGATTTAATATGTCAATTCAATCGTTTAATTGAAATGATAAAATAAATGAGAATGAATAATTGTTTTGAATTCAATTCTAATATAATATTAATATTAAAATTTATAAAGATAAAAAAGTAATTTTTTAGAAAAAAAATTTAAAAACTAAGTTTACATTTCTATTATAATCAAATAGTTAATTATATATTTTAAATTTTTTATCATCACAAAATTAATAATTACTCAATGTAATTTTTTATAAAATATTTTAAATATATAGTATAAATTTTATAAATTAATATTTGATAAATTAATAATTTTGAGTAAATAATATTTTTAGTCGATCGAGACTTGAGATCAACATAATAAATTAATAATTCGTTGAATTTATAAAATAATATATTTTAAAAACACATATTAATCTTACTTAATATATAAATTAATAATATTTTTTAAATAAAAAATTATATATATACATTACTCAATTATAAAGTTTTTATAAAATATAACTTCAATATTATTTATTTCTTCTTAAAATTTATGTTTTTTAGATTTCATCTTTAACTTTTTTGTATATTAACAATTATGGAGTAGTATTTTCATATTTTAAGAAAAAATTATGCACAATACATGAATTAAATTTAGCATTTTGAAAAAAAATATATTCATGAATTAATTTTTTATTAATTGATATATAAATTAGTAAATTATCTTTTATTGGTTAAATAAAATTTTGATTAATTAATAAATTTTCATGATCCAAATTATATTAATTTTTGTAGAGATTTAAGTGTATTATTTAATTTATATATTTATTTCATTTAATTAAGTATGTATTTGATGTCACTTATTTATTTTATTTTTTATCTTATAAGAATATTTTTGTAATACTATTTCATTTTCTTTTTATTTTTTTAAAAAATAATGATTATGGGATGTCAGCCAATTACTTAATTTAATCACTTAAAGTAATTTCTACTTTGATCTTCAATTAAAAAAAAAAAAGTCAATCTCTTGAGGAGCAAGAACCCCTGACCATGAAATCTTTGACCAGCCCAACGCCAACAACCTTTGCTGCCACTGCCAAAAGGCCCAAACTCACCTTCTCCCGAAACCATCACGAAGTCGCAATCATGAACCTTCCGCCGCAAACCACCACTATGAGCACCAGAAGCACCGTCAGGAAACTTCGTGGAAACCCTTCAACGTCCTCCAAGATCCCATTCCGACCACGCAAAATCCGAAAAGTGATCTCCAATACCCCCGTCGACGACGCAACCAAGTCTCCTCAACCTTCACTCACGGTTGCTCTCAAAATCCCAAAATCTCTATCAACAAAACCCGAAATCGACCTCGCTGTTAACCATCTCCGCACCTCAGATCCTCTTCTCGCCGCCCTCATTTCCGCCCACCCCCCACCGAAACTCTCTCCGTGTAACTCCCACTTTGTCTCCCTTTCCAAATCCATTATCTTCCAACAACTCGCCACCAAAGCCGCCAACTCGATCTACGCTCGCTTCGTTTCCCTCTGCGGAAATGAATCCAACGTCCTCCCTAACACGGTCCTCTCACTTACCCCACAAAAGCTCCGTGAAATCGGGGTCTCGGCTCGCAAAGCGAGCTATCTCCACGACCTTTCGGACAAGTTTTCAACAGGGGTTCTGTCGGATTCTTCCATCCTTACAATGGACGATGAAACGTTGTTGCAAATGTTGACAGCTGTCAAAGGAATCGGGCCTTGGTCGGTCCACATGTTTATGATATTTGCACTTCATAGGCCCGATGTTTTGCCTGTTGGGGATCTTGGAGTTAGGAAAGGAGTCCAGTATCTGTACGGGTTGAAGGAGCTGCCGAAGCCATTACAAATGCAGCAGATTTGTGAGAAGTGGAAGCCTTACAGATCAGTTGGGTCGTGGTATATGTGGAGGATTGTGGAAGCCAAAACCAAAGGGAATGGGAAAGCTCAAACTGTTGAAGCTGAACAAAATGGAGGGTTTTAATCATGTTTTTAGGATTGAAAGACATCTGATTGTTTCTAAGTGCTTGTGTTTTTGTGCTTTGAACTAGAATTAAGGTCTATTCATGTTTATCTTTGATGGTTTGGGCCTGTGTCAAAGTTATAGACATTTTGGATAAATTAACTTGTTTCTTCAGCTTAATTAAGAGTTGCAAGTTCGTTATTAGAGCTGTTTATTGGGCTTTTAGCGGATGTGATTAAGGTAAGCCCTCCAAAGGAGGAAAACAGGTAGGCTGTTAATTGGGGTTTTAGAGTATGTGATTAAGGCAAGCCAAAACAGGTAGGCTGGAAAAAGCTTAACGCCGTTGCCGGGGATCGAACCCGGGTCACCCGCGTGACAGGCGGGAATACTCACCACTATACTACAACGACTGGGTGATTATCATCTCTTAAGGTAACAATTTGTCAGATGCATATCCTACTTTTGGTAGCTTCGCACTCGGAAGAAGCTGCTTAGCAATTGGGAAGTCTTGCCCTTTCAACTGGTTACCCAGCAACAAGGAATTACGGTTGGGTTCATTTAGCTCTTTTTCTTACACCACCGAAAAGACTAGGATTATTATCAGAGATAAGCAGGAGAAGGCTGCTTGGTCTAGGCTCATACGGTTTCCCAAGCATGTTCTCATGGCCTGGATGGCTGTCCTCGATAGGCTTATTACCAAAGGATCAGGTCCTGGTGTTTGATTGATGCTACCTGCTCATTTTGTGGTAATGCTGAGGAGACGAGGTCACCTATTTTTCTTTTGCTCCTTCACTAAGCAAATTTGAGAGAAGGTAATAAAACTTTGTGGCTTGACTAGGAACATCGGAGACTAGAATAATGAACTTACTTGGGCTCAGCACAGATTAAAGGGAAAGACATTTATATCTGTTATCTTAAGATTACCTTGGAGTGCTTGTATCTACAAAATTTGGATGGAGAGGATAATCGACTACATAGGAATATGCAAAAAGCACCAAATGAACTCATTAACAGACTGATAGAACGAAGCTAGCTGGTGCTACAAGAATCGTTAATGATCTGGTTAAACAGTAGGCTTTGCTTAACATGGGGACTAAGTCATTCTATTTTTGCTATCTAATGAGGTTTTGATATTTCTCAATTCTGCGTAATATGCTCTTGTATGCTACGAAGGCAACAGTTGAGCTATGTAACAGGCTTATCTACCTGTGTTCTTGGAGAATAAAAATCAATCAATTGTCCAAAAATGATGCACGGTACATTAGAAAATTAGATATGCAAAAGAATTTCGATCAGAAGCCCACCTAAGTGCTCTCTTATGTACAAAAACGTAGATTAAAAGCCCACTTAATGCCCCTTGAGTGCAACAGATATGGATGGGCATTTCTGGGGCAAACCCAGAGTTATAAAACAGTCCAGGCTTTGATTCTCACTGTACAAACCCAAATCAGCCCAATTCCCATTCCAATTCAACCCAAAGGTGCTCCACAACACCAGACTTAGCCAATTTCCAATTGCAAGCATAGGTTTTCGACGAGAAGATGAGGGTAAAAGCTCTAGAAAAGATTTGAAAGCAAATCCCCATCTTGACAAATTTGCCTAGAAATATTCCCAGTATATTGAGAACCCAAAATCAAGCACAGTATGTCTATTTTTTTTTTTCACTTTCTTACAAGAGCTTATTTGGCTGGATATGATATGTGCTTTGTTGTTACATGTGCTCTAATCTCTACATCCATCTTTTGGTTGCACCACATCATTCATTTTCTGAAAGAAAGAAAGAAAGATAGTACTAGTCAAAAGATAAGTGTGTCTCCAGATCCTTTTTTTCATGTTTGATATGACAGGGATATGGGACATCTTTCAAGCTAGCTAGAGATAAGATTTGAGTGCGGACAAAGAATTTAAACCAATAATTAAGTGCAATTTTTTTAATAATTTAATTAAATAGTTATGTTGCAAAATTATTAATCAACAAATGAACCAAATTAATCAATGACTGTATCCATCAAAATTAATGATTATCGTTGAAGAACATGTTCTTTTTGCTTTCGGCACCGGCGAATCAAGACAAGCCTGCTTTCTTTTTCCCTTCGCTCTCCTTTTTCATTATTTCATATTCATGGCTATATTAATAGAATAGGAGAATTTTCGTGTCATGGCAGGATTAAAATCAAAATATCTAATTAGCAACTTCGGGTTTTTTTTTTTCCTTTTTTGTCAAAGGAAGGAGTATTCCAAAGAGAAAAACTTACAAGTACTATTACAAAACTATATATATTAACATAATTATAATAAAACAGATTATAAATTAAATCAATATAATTATATTAGATTACGAATATTATTATAATACGTTACTATTAACTTTATTTTCTTCTTTGTATACATTCACAAAAATGTCTATTAGTAACTGGTTTAGCAGCACTGTTAAGCGGCTTCGGGCGGATGAGTCATCCGATTGCTACACTCCAGAAAAAACCAAAGGCCAGATGGGGGTATAGGTTCATGATATGACGTATAGAACTGCACTTTA